TGCGATTGTTGCAGAACTTACATTACTGAAGAGGAGTGGCAGAGTATGGAGGAGAGTGATATATCGAAAATAGAAGGGCAAGGAACAATACAGTCTCCGATTTCTTCAGTTGTTGCAATAGCCATAACTGGGAACAAGAATAGCAGATATGTGGTGAAATGGGCATTGGAGAAATTTATTCCAGAGGGTGAGACGCGCTTCATGTTGCTACATGTCCGCCCTGAGATCACCGCGGTTCCAACTCCTAGTAAGTATTTGACTCTAGGATATCTTATGTTGAAAGTAGCAGAAAGTTCTGCTACATTTCTGGATTGTTGCTGTGCAAGAATTCGAGTATAAATTCCTTCGGTTAATCTAGCATACCTAATGTAAAACCTTCATTATTCAACACCCTCTAACATGTATCACCTGATTTGGAGTTAACGTGCTACGGGTCAAAAATAAGTTTTTCAAATGTCTGATCTTGAAAGTGTAGTTTGTTACCTGCCTTGTAATTAGTCTAAACTTGCAAGTTGCTGCATTTTCTTTTGTTCTAGTGGGGAACTTGATTCCTATTGCACAAGTAAGAGAAGACGTAGCGGATGCTTTCAGGAAGGAAGTTGAGTTGCAAGCAAGTGAAAAACTTCTTCCTTACAAGACAATGTGTAGTCGGAGACAGGTTCGAGTTATATCCAATGTGTGCCTGAAATACTTGAGGAATTACATCTTGGTTAATAATGTTCATTTTCTCTTAACTAAATGTAGGTACAAGTAGGAGTTGTTCAACTTGAATCAAATGATGTTATAAATGCAATTGCAGGGGTAGTATCTAAATGTTCTATCAACAAGCTTGTTATTGGAACCTCAACTCCTGGCCTATTTTCAAGGTACCAATAACTCGAAATCAATGTCTTGATTGACATTTCTTTGTTGCGATTAGCATACTATTAAGTGACGCGATCATGTGATAACTTACTGAATGATTCACAGGGGAAGAAATTTATCTGCAAGTATATCAGAAACATCTCCAACCTTTTGCACAGTTTATGCTGTGTCAAAGGGAAAACTGTCATCAGTGCGGGCCTCGAGTACAGACAACAACAGATTCCTTATAGATGATAGCAGTGATACAAGTAGTTCATCTAACAACTCTACAGGCCACAGCTTTAGCTCACAAGCAGGTATAAACTTCTTATTCACATATTTCTTCAATTTCCTAGACAATAACGAAGGATACAATGAGCTACATTAAAACAAGGCGATCAAATGATGAACCGAGAAGCAACTGAAGATGATCACTATATATGTCATAAACAAGACTCTTAAACGAAAGAAGTCATACCTACAAGTATATGCAGGACCGGATATCCCCCTTGTTTCATTGCCACAATTGTAATATCTTGTTCTTGAATTCTCAGAGAGGATGGATCACAGCTCAACTTCACCTGCTTCATACTCTCATTTGTACTCTCCTTCTCATCAACCGCAACGTTATCAAGCTAAATCTCCAGTGCACCAGGCCCTCCAGACACTTCTCCATAAAAGAACACATTTCAGCGAAAACATCCAATCTAGAAGTTCATCTGTCGATATTGGAGAAGCATTTCAAGCTCTTTCAATTAAAAGCAATACTCCTTTGCATAAAAGAGCAATTTTGGATGAAGTCATCCATCCTAGAGCTCTATCTGTTGCTATTGGAGAAGCTGATGATGAAAAAAGTTGCTATTTCAGTAGCTCGGGAATTACTGATCTCTATAATCGTGCTTCAAGTTTCAAAAAAGCGAAAGTCGACAACCAATCATGGTCAACAAGTCAGTATTCTACCTCAGATGTTCCAACAGATTCTTCATCTGGAAGTCAGGTGATCATATTTTTCTTTCATTTAACATGCAGTGCCATACATTCACTTTGCTTATATGAGGAGCTTCTTGGTTCCACAGTTTTATGCATAGTCCTAAAAGTTAGCAGAAATCTTACAGGCTACAGCAAACCTCCTCTTTACAGAAGGAACTATGAGAGGTTTATCCAGGAACGAATAGTGACACTTCGACTAGACTTTAACTATTTTTCAATTTTGTGACTGTAGAAATTACATGAAATCTAACTTCACAGCTCAAGTTACACTTGTCATAGTTTCATGAATTGCTACTGAAGTCTTTGTATATGTGCAGGTTAACATCAATTATGACCTAGAAAAACTGAGAATTGAGCTCAGACATATTCAAGGAATGTATGCAATAGCCCAAACTGAGGCGATAGATGCTTCTCGGAAGGTAATTTTCATTCAAAACTGAATTTTTGGCTAGTAGTACTCCCAAATACTATTACTCTTTTTATTAGAGGGATGAAATCAATAAGCATTCTTGCCTCTTTCATGCACATATTGGATAATTTGCTTATACTGTGCTTTCTCTCAGTTGAATGAATTTCAGAAGCTTCGAGTAGACGAAGCAAATAAACTTAAGCAGATAAACCTTAAAGAGGAGGAAGCGAAAGAATTGGCAGAGCAAGAGAAGTTAAAATGTGAAGCAGCAAAGAAGGAAGCTGACTATGCAATGGAATGTGTTGAAAGAGAAGCTGAGCAAAGAAGAGCAGCAGAGAGCATTGCCAACCGGGAGGCTAGAACAAAAGAAAAGCTAGAGAAATCATTGGCACTACCTTTGCATCACTACCAGGAATTCACGTGGGAAGAGATTGTGACGGCTAGCTCATCATTCTCCGAGGATCTTAAAATAGGAATGGGATCATATGGAATGGTCTACAAGTGCTATTTGCATCATACACCTGCAGCAGTGAAAGTTCTTCATTCAGCTGAGGCTCATAGAACTAAGCAATTTCAACAAGAGGTACGCAAAATCTCCAAACAGAGAAAGAAGTTAACAGGAATAACTAAAATAAGCTTCGAGTAATGTACATGGCGTATTAGCTTCAGCCAACTGTAGTTGTGATTCCACTGCTGCCACTCAAATTTGGCTGAGTTAAACTAACTATATCCTTTTTCTGGCTATTTCCACAGCTTGAAGTATTGAGCAAAATTCATCATCCTCACTTGTTATTTCTTCTCGGTGCATGCCCTGAACGTGGTTGCCTAGTTTATGAGTACATGGAGAATGGAAGTTTGGAGGATAGGTTGACAAGGAAAAACAACACACCTCCACTTACATGGTTTGACAGGGTTCGCATAGTGTGGGAAGTTGCTTCAGCTCTTGTTTTCCTTCATAACACGAAGCCAAATCCGATCATACACCGTGATTTAAAGCCAGCTAACATACTCCTTGATCACAACTTAGTCAGCAAAATTGGAGATGTTGGTCTTTCAACAATGGTTCAGTCAGACTCTTCCTCAGCAATGACCGCATATAAAGACACTAGTCCAGTTGGCACACTTTGCTATATAGATCCTGAGTATCAAAGGACAGGATTAGTCTCTACAAAATCTGATGTTTATGCTTTTGGGATGGTCATATTGCAGTTGCTTACTGCAAAAAGAGCCATAGCTTTAGCCCACATGGTAGAAATGGCTACCGAAGAGGATAAACTGGTGGAGTTGCTGGATCAAGAAGCCGGTGAATGGCCTCTTGAAGAGACGAAGGAACTGGCTGTACTTGCTCTAAAATGCACTGAACTTCGACGTAGAGACAGACCTGACCTGAAAGATGAAGTTCTCCCTATTTTGGAGAGATTTAAAGAGGTTGCTGATAGAGCTCGACATTCGAAATATAATCAACCTCCACCTCCTAGCCACTTCAAATGCCCCCTACTCAAGGTACACTTATGTTGATTGCGTAAATCGCTTCATAGTAATTCACATTACGCTATTATGCATGTTACAAAGTCTACTTCCTGCTCTTTGATTCATTTACTAAAGGAAAATTCTACTTCAGGAAGTGATTCAAGACCCCTGTGTTGCGGCTGATGGATACACTTATGACCGGAAGGCAATAGAGTCATGGCTCGCGGACAATGATAATTCACCAGTTACAAATTTACCATTACCACATAAGCACCTGCTTCCAAATTATGCACTTCTCTCAGCTATCAAAGAGTGGAAGTCAGGGAAACATTGACACAACTTTTAGCTATATACTTGAGCTTCTTCGAGACGGGAATCTCTATGTTTGTACATGCAATTACTAGTGTTAGTTGATAGATTAGTCTCTCAGATACATTCATTTAGCATTGCTTTCCCACAAGAAGCCCTCTACATTCTTTGAAACAACTGATTGGAAATTAAAGAAGTGCGGCAAATTTAGCTCACTGATGAGCTACAATGTAAAGAAGTTTTTGTAAAGAATTCCCAAATAAATGCTTGAAATGTTAACTAGTGGTTAACATACACATAGAAATGTATATGATCAGATACTCATTTTAATGTTTTTTTTCCAAGTTTATTCATGTAGGTTGTACTTCAACAAATGCTATTAAACATTAGGAGAAACTTTTCATTTATTTACTGTAACACTTGATTTGAAGAACCAGATACAACAGCATCTGAAGCTTGAAATGAGAAAAAAAATCATTATGTATACATTGTTCGAGAATATGAATATTTTTCCTTTTCGACACACCAATTTTGAGTTGTAAAGTGCAGAAATATATCACTAGGACTTAGAATGCAACACCTTACCAACAAATAGTCAAGTAGTATCTGTTCCGATAAATATCACTTTCTGCAGAAAACAGGATCTTATCAATGACACATGTCAAGCTTACTGTTCATCAGGTATCAATTATATCATCAACTATAGTCGTCAACAAAAAATCACAAATCAGAATTATCTAGATAAAGTAGCTAGGAAAGTGAGCAGGAACCTCATAGTGATTCAAAGATTTTTATTCCTGAAGTGCTACATTTTGATTGATAGACACATTCCTTATACATCTACTGGCCTACATTACTCAGTTCAATTTGCTTCCTATCCAGAATGGATTGTCGAAGAAATGATCAACTGACGGTAATGGCAACTTCTCACAACTCCTACCTTTTACTGTTAACTCAACTTTGCAAGGCATGTAAAGAATCAAATATGGTAGCTTGTTATTTCACTTGTCATAAGAGAAAGCACACTAAACGTAAACTCAAGAGAAGTAAGTCCCGGTGAACTACAAATCATTTCTCGAATTGCACATGAAGTTGGTTCATGTCGATCAATGCAATACTTTGCGCTCCAAGAAGAGTAGTCATTTTCCAATACAAAGACATCAATATGATGTGAATCACTGACTGAAGAGCCAACCAGATGTAAATTCCCGCAGACGCATCCACAGTAATACTGCTCATTCATTTCAGGCAATTGATAAGAGTGGAGAATTTCCTTATCAGTATCAAAATAACAAAAGCTATTTACCCCTTTAAAGATCCAAAAGATAGCTCCATTGAAGAAAACTCCCTTACGTTGTCCCAAATAGCTCAAAAATGCTTTTGGAAACTGGACTCGTGATCGCCTCCATGAGGTGGTATCTGAAGAGTATATTTCAATAGGGAGACAATAAAATAAACTATCTTTGGGATTACTCGAGAATTGGATCCCAACATTTATAACTTTGTAATGAGGCGATATCGAATGATCAAAGGCCAAACTCATGTCTAGTGACCCCACATTTGGACTCGGAAGAGTATGGAATTCCTTTGTAGTTGGATTACACACAATGTACTCATCGAATTGCCTCTTACGACAAAGAAGTAAACCACCACAACAATTCAAAATTACAACATCATCAAAGGGATCATCTTTTATTATAAAATCAAAGAATCTAATAGAAGCTTTAGATTTTGTTTTATCAGGAATGTAATAACAAGGGTAATCGAGAAAAGGCGACTGTAGAATGAGTAGAGTTGGGAAAGATTGAGGCTTCCAGAGAGAAGAAAAACGGGGATTGGACACGAGAGAACTCCAGCGTTTCGAAACAAGTTTGAACCTGAAAAGAGGCCTTGCAGGAAGGAGTAGTAAAATCTTGGTTAAAAGATCATCACTACCTTCAATTTTTTCAGCACTATAAGACATGTTGATATGTTTGTATGAAGAACATATCTATTCAAACACTTACATATATATAATGAAATGGGAAGGATGAGTTCAGTCTCCAACAAGAGACTTTCAATATTCTCATCACAACATTTAATGGATTACAGAAAATGAAGAGTCCATGTTGTGTTTCCAGCAGAATCATTAATGTGCACAAACACAATTCATTTTGTCATTACTTTTTTCAAGTTGCAACAAAACAATGTAGAGCACTTTTTTAAAGCATCCAATACTCTAAAAATACAGAGTTGTTATATGAAGATTCACAAACAACAACAAGGCCAGTGACGGAGCCAGAATTTTCATTAAGAGGTTCAAATTTGAAGAAGTAAACACACGAACAAGTTGAAGGTGGTTCAACATCTACTATACATACATAAAAAAATAACTTTAACCATGTATAAATAATAATATTTCCCGCCGAACCCCCTAACAATATGCTGGTTCCTCCCCCGACAACAACAACAAACTCAGTGTAATCCCACAGGCAGACCCAAAGTTACAGGTGGAACAGTAGGCCTTCTGAATTCTGATCATGATCTGTTCACATCATTGACCTTGTCAACTTAATCAAATAATGAAACTTCCTAAGCAATCTTTACCTATATGTTGACATATTAAATATGCATCCATCATCTGCAATTCTTGCACAACACAAAGAAAACTTACTACTAAAAATGCAAGGCATTAAACTCAAGATCCCGAAATTTTCAGATTTAGAGCAGCCATCATCAGCTCGAATAGTTGTTTCGATTGATGATCTATTGATGGAAATTCTTTTACGCGTACCTATAAGATCCCTTCTCTGTTTCAAAACCGTATCCAAACATTGGCTTTCTATCATTACTCATCCACATTTCTCTGTCCTCTGTCATCCCAATCCAAATCGCGCAATAGGCCTTTTCTTGACCTGTCCTTATTCTCTTCCAGCAAAACCCCAATTTTGATAAGAAAAATCCCCCAAAACCACCATTTAAGAATCTCAAATTCATTAAAGACTCTTCTGGTATTAGTGTTCTGCAATCTTGCAATGGACTAATACTCTGTTCCAACTCCCCTTCGCGTCTAGCTAAAACAAATTACTATGTTTGCAACCCCACTACGAAACATTACACAGCACTTTCAAAATCAGTTCTTGAAACTGAAAATTCTAAAATTCATGGTCTAAGCTTAGCTTTTGATCCTGCCAAGTCTCCTCATTACAAAGTAATATGTGTTCGCGATTCTGTTTCGTCTCCTCAGCATTATCAGATTAAAATCTACTCATCTCAAACAGGTTTGTGAATTTCATATGTATTCACTAAAATATAAAAAAGTTACAAAATTGTTTTTGTCACAGTAAAGTAACTAACTAAACTCTACCTTTTTGTCACAAACTAGAAGGTAAGATATATTTTTACTAACTTAATATGTAATTACGCGAAGCATCACTTAATATGTAAAGTTCAGTGAATATGACAAAAAGTAGTTGTGTTATTTTTTTTGTTATGGTGGATAAAGTTTAATGACCATGCGTGAAATTAACTCGAAACAGGCCTATGGAGACTATCAGGTGATCCATTCATTGCTGATGTTAATTTCTCCAAAGGGGTTTATTGGAATGGATCAAATTACTGGATTAGTACTATTGGAAACTTGACTTGTTTATATTACAATCTTGATTTTGAGAGGTTAGGGGTAATGCCAATGCCACATTTTCCAGATGATCAAGGAACAACTATAACATATTTTGGTGAATCTTGTGGCCATTTGCACATCACAAAAATTTCATTCTACACAATTCGATTTGATGTATACGAGATGAGAAGGGATGATTCTGAATGGTTTGTTAAGTACAAGGTTGATTTTGAACATCCTGATCATGAGTTGACTTATTGTAATTTTAGGATATTATCTCTGGTTCGAGGTAAACGAGAAGAGGATGCATTTTTGGTTCTGGCAGTTGTTAATGATGATAAGGTAATGAAGTACAATCTTATAAACAAGACCTTTGAGAAATTCTGTGATTATGATGTTGAAGATGAACAAGTTTTTACTGTAGTACAATTGGTGCTTTTGAGTATATTGAGTCTTTGTGTTGTGTTTGAATCATTTGCATTTGTATTTGCATTCCTCTTGTATTAGTAAACTCATAAAATTGTTTGTTTTCATATGTTATATTTGGTTTTTGAGTATAGTGCATCTTCATGTTGCCTATAGTTTCGCGTATGGTTGCTGAACTTTATCCTTGTATCAGTAAGGTTATAAAATTAAATTAAATTTGAGAGAGGAGTTTGATTGTTTACAGATGAAGACACACAACATTTAAGTTAACAAGCAACTCGAGTTACGCAATAGGTATAAAACGACTTGTACAATTAAAGTGTTACTCTTAGTCAGGAACCACGTAGCAGCTAAGGAGCCAAACTTAAGGGGGATGGGATATTGACAAGCCGAAGTTTTCTCTACAGAAATTCCGAAGTATACTACTAGAGAGGTGCATTGTTCGAGAATATGAAGATTTGTCCTTTTGGACACACCAATTTTGGGTTGTAAAAGTGCAGAATACAGCACTAGGACTAGGACTAAGACTGCAAAACCTTATCAACGAAAAGTCTACTAGTATCCGTTCTGATAAATATCACTTTTTGCAGAAAATAGATAAATATCACTTTGTGCACAAAACACAATTCATTTTGTCATTACTTTTTCAAGTGGCAACAAAACAATGTAGAGCACTTTTTTTGAAGCATCTAATACTCTAAAAATACAGAGTTGTTATATGAAGATTCACAAACAACAACGCCAATGACGGAGCTAGAATTTTCAATAAGGGGTTCAAATGAAGAAGTAAACACACGAACAAGTCGAAGGAGGTTCGATATCTACTATATATACATAAAAAAATAATTTTAACCATATAAAAATAGTACTTCCTCCCTTTCAAATTAATTGATTTGTTGAGACATTTTTCAAATTAACTTAACTATTCAATTTTCAAGACTACTTTTAGTATGTTCTTCCAATTTTACCCTTCATTAGTTAGTATTGAAATTAGTTATATAATTAATGTTTAGTTATTTTAATCATAAATTTGACAATAATTAATAAGGGTTAAAATGGAAAGCTATACCTTAACAATTCAATTAATTTGAAATGGAGGGACTAATATTTTCCGTTGAACCCCCTAACAATATGCTGGTTCCGCCCCACAACAAACTTAGTGTAATCCCACGGGTGGAATGAAGATTCACAAAAATGATTTCAAAATTGTTAATGGCAAAAAAACTCCTCTTTTTCTACAAAATAAGGTACCATTTCCTTGTGTTCCTCATAATTCATGAACACATACAATGAAAAAGGGTAAATATGCTCTATCTGTTAGATGACGAGGGTATATATATATATATCATTTATTTAACTATAGGTATATCAGGTCTAAATTGCAAAATTAAGAAGTATATTTACCACTTTTCCGTTTATATATTCATGAATCATTATTCTTTACAAAAGTTGCAGCAGACAGAAAATAAATATCATTACTCATTCTACTTACAATGAAACAATCAAGAACTTCTTGCAAGGCAAAAAACATGATTTTAGAATTGCTAATGGCAAAAAACTCTTCGTTTTCTACAACAATAATAAGCAGCGAGAGCCGCAATTTCCTCCATTGCAATTTGTTTGCTATACGTTTCTTTTAAGACCGTTTTTTCTCCTTTTGAAAACTCTTTAATTTTAATTTTTCAAGTGATATATTTAATACACAAGATTAAAGTTCATTTTGATACATTGTACACTTAGTTTAAGATAACATGATTCAAAATTCTTCTTTACTTTCTTAAATTTCATATCAAATCCAGACAAACAAATTGAAAGAGAGGAAGTACATAAAAATTCATGAACCAACATCTTAACAACAACAACATACCAGTATAATCATACAAGTAGAATCTAGGAGGAGGGGTGTACTCAGACCTTACCCTTGCATACCCTTAACATATATATATAGAATTAAAATGGCATAATACATATATTGGACCCTAAACTTGGCTTCAAATTTTAACTTTGACCTCCAACTTTCATAGTGCACAAATAGGCACATGAAATTTTAACTTTGACCTCCAACTTTCATAGTGCACAAATAGGCACTTTAACTTGTATAAAGTAGAACAAGTAAACACACGAGTCCTACATGGCACAATACACGTAGGACACCACGTAGGACAAAAAATGACATGTAGGATGCCATGTAGGACATGTGTGTCTATTTGTTCTATTTTATACAAGTTAAAGTGCCTATTTGTGCACTATGAAAGTTGGAGGTCAAAGTTAAAATTTGAAGCCAAGTTTAGGGTCAAATATATGTATTTTGCCAATTAAAATTCTAACCTAGATGAACAATTAACTTCCGTCCCTTAACATAAGATGGCTCCGCCACTACATCCAACTTCATTTGTTCTCTAACAACTTCTACATCGTCATGCTACACGCCACTTAAGTCCTTTTTCTCGGTAGATGATGTTTAATCGTAGACATTAGAATTTGTTGCAAACAATCCTATAGCAAAGCGTCGTATTATTTCTTGATTAATTTAGATATGAGTCTTCACTGAAGGCAATGAATAGTACCTGAGATGGTGATCATTCTTGATAAACAACTTTTTCATAATTACTAAACACACATAATTTATCACTCAATTTTAAATATTATACCTGAAGATGACATCTACACAAAATTTAACCTAGGGCCGGCTGCTCTCTCTTCTCTTCTGCGAACTATGTCGCCTTGAAGAAAATCCATGATAGCCGCATCCTCTCCCCAGCATATGGCTGGGGGCGAGCCGTGTTTCTTAGGGTTGGCTAAATGAATCCTTACTGTCCACGTCGCTCCATTTTAAACAAAGAAAATGGGATACAATATTCTTTCATTGTAGAACCCCAGGCATGGCAAATAGAAACCCAGAAGAGATTAACTCGCTGTTTGGTAGGCTAACTTTA